CGCAGTCATCGGTGTTGCAGCTGCTACCGGGTAGACCCACCGCCGCCGCCGCCGCCGCCGCCGCTGACACCGCTTACCGCCGCACTCCGCTGCGGCTGAGCCGGAAGGGAGGAGTGATGCCTGGCGGACACGAAGGCCGCCGTCTGCAGGGCCTTGATGCGGGACTTCGCGGCGGCGGCGGTAAGCGGCGGGTTCGTCATGGCCAAAAGGGGCTCCATCGGCTCCGCCGACTGGCACCCGGGGACCAGGGAGGCGGCGATTCCGCCGGCGCCGTCCGCCTTGACGGTGCTGGGTCCGCCACCGGCCTGGACGCGGGGAAGACGCCGACAAACAAGAAACGAGGAAGGAGAAAGGGGTTGGGCGAGGGCTAAGGCTAACGTCGAGACCCCGTGAAATTGCGAAATACATACAGGAAGAAGACACGTCTTTAGCGTGCTTACCGCCGCTAGAGGATTCTAGATAGACATACCTACAGGAAGAAGTAGAGGGGTGTATTCATAGCCGTGCGTGCCGTAGTCGTTATCGTTAGACTATTGCCCTATTAGGGGGGGGGGGGAGATCAGAATGCTGAATAGCACAGCTCAGGCAAAAGCTTGAGCAAGGAGCGAGGCGGCTTCCTCCCTTCCTCCCTCCCAACAACGTGCGACGGCTCGAGCGCCCAGGCACACCGCAGCACGGCACAAAGCCTGTCGATCTTGCTCTCACCTTGTTGTTCTCCTTCTCTTGTGCGGCGAAGGCCAGGCCGTTCTCCTGAAGCATGGCCAGGGTCGTCTCCTTCATCGCCTTCTCGACGCCGTAGTCGCTCGACGATCCTAGTCGATTGGATGAAATAGATGCACGCCAAGCGGAACGGTAAAAACAATGAATGCCACACGATAGCTCGCGCCACACACAGATGCAGCGACAGATGAGCTTGCCACGCTAACACCCCCCGCGAAACGACGATCGCAAACAGCGGACCCAACCCAATGGCCCGATGCCCTGCACCATTCTTCCACGTACTTGTATGATACGACCCGCTCTCACCGTAGATGCAGCTGGCGATAAGGAGATGCGCGTCGTGAACGGCCGGCTTCCACCAGGACGGCATGGGAGCGGCCTTCAGCTCCGTCAACTGCGCTAGTCGAGCGGCGAACGACTGCATCTGCTCGAGGCGAAAGCATTCATTCCAGAGCACAAAACAACGAGACGTGTTACCTACCAGATGACCCTGGTTCATTGTAAGAAAAAGGAAAAAAAGAGTCTGGATGTCACTCGCCAGCAAGTCTCGACTCGTCGACCGTGTTCCGGTCGAGACTTGACCGACGGAACCTACACGCATACGCTGTTTCTAGGCAAGCCAAGCACAAAGTGTTGATCCGATAAAGGTTCGTCTTTGAAAGCGCCATGTACTGGCCAGGTCGCTTGGGTCCGACGGTCGCAGAGAACAAGCACACCAAAACAAAAGGCCACAGTGCTTGACCAAACACAAAACAAAAAAAATCACGCAATTAGGGGTGTGACCACAGCAGTACTACCACCAACCGCCCCGACAACACCAACCGCCACATGCACCAGCAAAATAGGGAGAACAACATGCATGACTCGCCTCTTTGAGTTCCGTGTACGCCAACAGGCTGGCGCGGAGTTGTGTCGCCTTGGCCGCAGACTGAAGCATTGCGGTCAAGGTAGTCCGTTCGGAGACCTGTAACAAAACGCAACAACAAACATGAACAAAAGAAAAAACACGAGGATGAAACCACGTAAAAAGGGAACATCAAACCATGCACACCCACAGAAGAACCCGACAAAAACGCAACAACAGCAAACAACAACACAGAGAGCGAACCTAATGCAATTCACACCGAGGCACTTGAACAAGAGAATGAAAGTACTACAATAACGACGACAAAGAGATCAAGGCCTCTCAGGCGAACACGTTGCGGACCGGATAGGAAGGGGTTCTTCAAAAAGGTGTAGCCATACTATTAACGATCAGGCCTCCGGCCGGAGGTGTCATTCCTCCCTCCCTCCCACACGTCACGGAACGCCACCGCTCAACACCTTCAACGCCACCTCCCATCATCCGAAACGTTGTGACACCAGAACAGCTTCCCAGTGTGACGCGATTTCCACTACAACGACCATGATGACGACGACAACAGCAACAGCCTCGCAGCATCATCAAACAACAACAGGACTCATCATTGCGCCATCTGGACGTACCGCTACTCCCCCCCCCCCCCCCCCCCCCCCCCAAAAAAAAAAAAAAACCATCCCCCCCCCCAAAAACCAAAAAAAAAAA